GTTCCTACCGGATAATGCGTTTTCTAAAATGCACCTATTTGAGAAAGCTATCGTAGTCAAACCGTTGGTTTAGATGCAATTAGTCCGATTTTGGTATCATTGATTGAGCCTTGTAATTCCTCATCGAATGGTACCAAAATCGGAGTGCCTAAAGTGTCCCCCTATTTTTTTCATATCAAATCACAACTTTTTGCTCTCCAAAAGCTCTCCAAAGCAAAAAGTTGTGATTTGATATGAAAAAAAATAGGGGGATACTAGGGGGACACTTTAGGGGGACAAAAAGGGGACACTTTGAGGGGGACACTTAGGGGGGCAAAAGGGGGACACAGGGAGGGGGGACACTCGAAATGTATAATAGGAACACACTCTACTCTTGAATTTTAACCATTTTTGTAAAAAACCAATTTATGTAAAAAAAAAACACAATTTCATCGAGTTGGACTCTCGAAAAAAAGTCCCAATAAACTTTACTTGATCCGATTTTTTCTCACTTCTCTTTTCGTTTTTGTGTTTAGACCCCGGGAGTGTGTCTGTTTGCGCAAAAATGCCTCGTCCATCGCTCTCGAACGTTTCTTATTTCTCCCCTTCTCGGCAGATCGTTCTTTTTTTTTGCTGGGAATGAGTAATAGAATTGAATTTTGAAACTAACCAAATCTGATTAGAAAAGAAATAAAAAACTTACTTAAGATCATTTTCAAATCGACTCGTTTTTAAAGTTTTAAAGCTCTATAAAGGCCAGAATTACAGCTACACCTTTTTAGCAGATTGTATCCCAAACCTCGCAATCAATTCAAAAACCCTAAGTATTATATAGAGAATTGAAGCCTGAATTCTTGCCTACATTTGTGTACAAAAAGATCTTTGATTGGAGATTTGCAGCCAATTTTTCAGACACCCAAATGAGCCCAATCCGGCCAGTCTCCGGCAGGCTTCCATTTTTTGCTGTTTTCTAACTAACTCCAATTAAAGATCTTTTAGTACAAAGTAAAGAAAATAGAGAAAAAATTTATATAGAGAATTGAAGCCTGAATTCTTGCCTACATTTCTGTACTTTGTACTAAAAGATCTTTAATTGGAGTTAGTTAGAAAACAGCGAAAAATGGAAGCCTTCCGGAGACTGGTCGGATTGGGCTCATTTGAGTGTCTGAAAAATTGGCTGCAAATCTCCAATCAAAGATCTTTTTGTACACAAATGTAGGCAAGAATTCAGGCTTCAATTCTCTATATAACACTTAGGGTTTTGAATTGATTGCGAGGTCTGGGATGCTGAAAAGGTCTGCTGTAATCTGCTGAAAAGGTGTAGCTATAATTCTAAGCCATCCTGTAAAAATTATGTGAAAGAAAAATGGAATCAAAATCTCATAAGTTTCTACAAGTCTGCCTTGCGATGAACTTTTTAAAGCAATGACTCGTTGATGAAATTCCAAAAAAAGCAAATCACTGAGTCAATCTTCTCAAAATAACCCACCTACTCAAAAAAATTAGCATAATCGGATTCCCGTTTTGGTGAATTGTTTTTGTATTTATGGAAGTTGAAAAAGTTTGAAAAAATGTGGATTAATTTTAACTGGTTTAATTACCCAAGTTTGAGGCCTCGATTCGACACGGATATCAACGTATGCTACGCCCTCCTCACTGATACGATGCACAAATTGCTGATTGAACACATTCCGCTCTCGACCAAAGATTACCCCCTTTCAAAGCTTTCATAACCGCCAACTGTATCATTCTTTTGCTTGTCGTGTTCCTCGTATTTGGAATAAGTTACCTTGTGATATTTTTTCGTCTCTGAACTATTTTAAATCCTCAATATATAAGCTCGATCTTGTAGCTCTGTCAATTTTAAATTAGTTTTTAATGTCATATATACACGTGTCTAATTGTAGTTGTGTTTGTATATCAATTATCTTTCTTCGTCTACGCTGTTCAATCTGTTTGCATTGTCACTTTTCCTTGTCGGATAAAGTATATATACGTTAAAAATATACGGATTAAAGAAATTCACATACGGTAGGAATTTGTTTTTAAAAACTCTAGAAAAAAAATGGTAACTGTTTTTAGAAGTTATTTTTGAAAAACTTTTAAACACATCCAAATTTGCTAACCTTTCTTGATGTGCGGAGAAAAAAAGCAATTTTTCCTCCATTTCTCCTCTTTTACAATCAATCACCCGATTACTCATAAAAACAAGAGTTTTTAAGTTAGGTAATGTTGATCATGGATTCAAGTTTTTGTTTTGATTTCAAGCTTCAAGTTTGAATTGAAGCTCCAAGAACGATGTCTATGCGAGCAAGAAACAGGGAACAAAATTGTCGTATTACTGTGGTATTACTGTTGATCATTTGTCTGGGAAATTTATGACCATTATCGTTGATATATTGGATTGGTGAATTGAAAACTGCCGGCTATTGTCATATGTGACAGTTTGAGCACTTTCTTCAAAAGAAACCATTTTGGTGTCAATGGAAAAGTTGTAGAGAATCAACAAAGAGGCTTATAGCCAAATTTCCAAAAAGATACACTTAGTAGTTTCGCTTAAAATGCAAGTTTTGTGAAAATTCGTAAATTTGGCATTTCTTGTGGCGATTTCCATTATTATTGACGACTTCTGCCCATTTTACAGGCAATTTGCGGATTCCCTTCGTAGTAGGATTTTCTTTCGTAGTAGAATTTTGGTTTGTGTGTGAGACAAGTGTGAGACTCAAAAATGGAGGACTGGAGACGTCCCAGTTTGAGCACTTTCAGGAAAAGTTGTAGAGAATCAAAAATCAAGCTTATATCCAAATTTTCGGAAATATTCAAAAACTGGTTTTCAAGAAATGCCAAATTTACGAATTTTCACAAAACTTGCATTTCACAAAACATTTTAAGCGAAACTACTAAGTGTATCTTTTTGGAAATTTGGCTATAAGCCTCATTTTTGATTCTCTACAACTTTTCTATTGACACCAAAATGGGTTTCTTTTGAAGAAAGTGCTCAAACTAGGACATCTCCAGTCCTCCATCTTTGAGTCTCACACTTGTCTCACACACAAACCAAAATCCAACTACGAAAGAGGAATCCGCAAATTGCCTGTAAAATGGGCAGAAGTCGTCAATAATAATGGAAATTATTTGGAATGAATTTATGGTTTTATGTTGAATAAATTTTAATTCAAAGTCCCGCATTTTTCCCAAAAAATGTGGATTAATTTTAACTGGTTTAATTACCCAAGTTTGAGGCCTCGATTCGACACGGATATCAACGTATGCTACGCCCTCCTCACTGATACGATGCACAAATTGCATTTTTCCCAACCCAATAGTTAAAAATTGAGCCGGATCGAACCTATGGCATAGCTGAATTTCAAAGATATTCAATTCAGTGAAATGTTCACATCGTTTTCTCGGGATCTCCATTCGATAGTAGGAAATGTCCTATTCTTCACATTGTCCCGAATTCATTAATGATTTGGAATCAATTTATGGTTTTATGTTCAATAAATTTTAGTTCAAAGTCCAATTCACCAACCCAATAGATTTCACAAAGCCAAAGACTTTAACTATTCAAGCCAAGTTAAAAAATCGTTTTGTCTTGAATTAATCTGCGGTATATCCAGGCCTAAAAACTCTATAAAGCGAAGACTTATTCACTATTCACTTAAAAGCTATATAAAGTGAAACTTCGTTAATTGTAAGGAGTTGGCTTGAAACTAACTTGTTTACTTGACGAGAAAATAAACAAGAACAATTCAATGATAACTTTCACAACACACAAGAACTTACTTTTACAACACTTTTACTTTTACAACAAGAACTTACTTTCATCCGACTTAATTATTTCAATAACTTTGATTATTTCATTTGATATCTAGCATTCCCTCAAAATCTTTTACTATTCCCCAAACGAGCACTCGTAAACTCCGATGTGAAATGGGCATTCTTATCACTAGAAAAGGGAAAGAATCAAAGATATTCAGTCAACAAGCCAAAGAAAGGCCAAAAGGAAACGGTACGCCCTTCGGAATCTCGATCGATTCATTCTCAATACTTTTTGCTTTTTCTTTTCTTTGTTTAACTGGTTATTAGGCTTTATTGATAACAATTTGAAATGATTCACTCTTACTTACTCTAAATTTTTGCATTTATTTTTGCATTTTGTTATTCGAAGCTTTGAAAAGCTTATCAGTATCAAAAATTACAAAAATTAAAAAAAAACTGTTTTAGGAGTAGGAAAATTGAAAGCTTTTTAATAAATTATCATTTTAAACTCTGTAGAAATTAAATATTTAAAGGTTTTTTTGGCTCATACTGTAAATTCCCATCTTTCTGTTCATTTTATGAATTTCTATGAATTTCGATGAATTCTATCCATAAACTGGCTTTAATCAATCAACCTTTCAATGAACCTTTCCCCTTAATACCCCCTCCCCATCCCTTCACCAACATGCGTTCGTGGTGTAATGGTTAGCATGGATGCCTTCCAAGCATTCGACGGGGGTTCGATTCCCCCCGAACGCAAATCCTTTTTTTGTTTGAAGTTTAAACTGAATTTTTCAAATGAATTTTATTGGTCATATCACCCTATTTCATCAACGCTTTTTTAAAGACCAAACTCACCCTAAAAAGGCGTTAAATCGAGGGAAAGAATGCGGCTTACGTGTGCCCTGTGCAAACGCCTTTTATCAATCCATGCTCATTTTGGGGTCTTTGAGGGGGAAAAGGGGAATCAATAGATATTTTCTACGTTGATTCATCAGGTTTAGAATTTCATTTCTTTCAGTAATTTAGCCAATTCAGTAAAATGAAGTAAAAGCTTTTTAAGCTTTTTAAGCTTTTTAAGCGTTCCCGTTTTTCTATCGAGTTTATTTAACAAAATTTTGCTGAAATCAGAAAATTACATAAGATTTGTATTGTTTTAAGTTTTTACTTGTTTATTATTAATTGGCTTTAAAGGTAAAAACTTTTGCAAACAACTGGGGAAGGGGAAAAGGAAAGGCGTTTAACGAGAAGAATTGCAGATGGGAAGTCGGCGAAGGTGAAAGATTCATTCATGAGATTATATATAATTATTTATTTGCAAACATAAATCGGATCTATCTAAGCATGCATTCAGGTATTTACTCGAAAAATCCTTTTACACTCTTTTCCAGATCATCGATCTACCCGTTGAGCGACGTGGATTTGGCCGCCGAGTCGCTCAGCTCAACCCATTCAGCCCGGAGGTTCGTTTAAGGGAATTCGATCATTTATTTAGCTTTTATTTGATTTGATTTGATTTGATTTGATTTTATTTGAGATTTCTAGAGAATTAGAGACGATTTAGTTAGGTAAACACTCTTGCCTTTAAATCAATCAATCAATCAATCAATCAATCAATCACCCAACTTTCCAGAGATGATCCAATTCTGCCCACTTTTTCCCCATTGGATCTTTTCACATGGGCCTCTTTTGAGGTGACGATGATCGTGTGTCAATTTGCCGGATTTGCACATATTTTCCTCGTTTGTAAGTGAAATTTTATGAATATTTATGCAAAATTGAACAAATTCCCCATTGAAATGGCTCTTTACACTGGTCTCCAAGTATAAAATGAGATTTGAAGCCATCTCGCTCAGATGCGTTCGTGGTGTAATGGTTAGCATGGATGCCTTCCAAGCATTCGACGGGGGTTCGATTCCCCGCGAACGCAAATCGTTTTTGTTTTTTAGAGTTTTAAAGGTCTAGAAAGATTAAAGTATCATAGTGATGGCTCTGGTTTGGTGTAGTCGCTAAATTTTCGCTTAAATCAATAATTAGGACAATACCACTGACTCTTTCTCGGTTTTTCAGCTCATTTCTATGGTCGGATAGTTGGCGGAATCAAATACGATGAAACGCCGAATTATCATGGCTTATTTATGACCTATGGGCTTGTGTTTTTTAATGGAGAGGGTAAGAAAAGCGGCCGTTTAAAAATCACTCTCAATTCAGCTATTTTGGCGTATCGTTTTATGAGAAATGAGGCAAAAATCCTATCGAAACTCGTCCATGCGACTTGTCACACTTTAGCGATCTCTTTTTTTCTCAGCAGCTCTCGCACAAATTATTCACGTAAATGTTCAATTTAAAAACTCTCAAAAATTTGGTAAATCTTTCAGCAAAAGACCCTAGGCGGTAATCAACATGTGTACACATTTCACAGTTGGTTCGGAATCGCCATCATGGCCGCCTATATCATTCAGGTGGGAGAAAAAAAGAAAGATAAATCTTTAATGAGAAAAATGATTTCAATGAAATCCTTTTGGATTGAATGAAATCTTTCAATGACTAGCTTGTTTTTAATTTCAAGGACTCAATGACTAGCTTGTTTTCAATTTCAATGACTGTTTCAATGACTGTTTCAATTTCAATGACTCAATGACTAGCTTCAGTTCCTGTTCGGTCTTTTCAACTACGGACTCCCTGGTGTTCCGATCGAGGTTCGACAAGCTCTAATGCCATATCATCGCACTGTTGGTCTAGCTTTGTTTGGATGTTCAGTAGCTCAGGTAGAATAAGAATAAGAACAAGAAAATAAACAAAATGATTCAGGTTTTGCTTGGTCACTTCAGTTTTCTCTATTTGTATCGACCGCCATTGTAAGTTTTGTTTTATCATCAAATTTAAACAAGTCATGAATACATTTTTAAAAGAAACAGAAATTGTACAGTAGATTGGTAAGTAGTGTAGAGATTATATACTATATAAAAAGTGTCTATCATTTCGATTTATTGTCTATTTATCATCGAAAAAGTGACTGTCTGTCTGTCTGTACGGGCATTTTCTCGGCTATGTCTTATCAATAAATAAAGACAATAAAGCTACCAATAAAGCGGCCAATAAAGCTAAAACTTCTGTAGAAAACCTTAGAATATATTGTAGTTATGTTATTTAATCTAAAAAATGAAAAAAGTCAAGGCTGAGTGGCACTACGGGGGTCGAACCCGGGTTGTGTGTGGCCAGAGGCAAGCGTTCTTCGACTGCGCCACAGAAGCGAGCCTGCTGGGCCAGAAAAACCCGCTGTTAACTGGGGTTTTCGACTGGTTTAGACATAAAAGAGATTAGAGATACGGTTAGAAATGAAGGCCCTCGTTGTTAAATCACTTCTCAGACTCAGACTCAGAAAATTCTAAATCAACAATTCCAGAGTGATGTCCTGTTATGCTTTCCTCGATTGTGACACCCATTTCGATTTAATCTTCAATTTTTCCCTTCTCACTCTCGTTGTTTATGCTTTATTGGTGATGGTTTTGGTGACAAAAGACAGTTGGAAACGAGAGAAAACACCAGAAGAACTGGGTTTGATCGATTAAAGACCTCAAATTTCTTTTTTCATTCATTTTGTACTGCCTTTTATTGCCTTTCAAAGCTTTAAATTATGTCTATCTTTAATTTCTCGGCTTTACTGTTAGCTGTTTATTGCTCAGAGATCAATTTAATCTGTTTTCATTGACAACCACACTCTTGAACAATCATATCTTGGTATCGTTTAAGGACAACATTCTCCGAATTATCAATGAAAATGATTTTTTGTTGAGAGAGTTTTGACGGAGCACAACGCGGTGATGGAGCACGTTGTGGATGTAAGAGATGGACGAGGGTTTGCACTGGAAATTCGTGTTCTTGTTTAAAAATCAGCACAAAGCTGTTACTAATTGGTTTTTAAGTCACAATCTACTAATTGGATTCAAAGAATCAACTGGGCCTTTTTCTGGACAAGAAATCAGATCCTAGTCTGACAAAAGTCTGTCAGACTAGGATCTGATTTCTCAAGACCGTGCAGAGCCATAAAAGTCTTCGAAATTGCCAAAGGCAGTTTAAATCAACTTGGCTATCTTACAATAGCTTATCTTAGCACGTGAGCGACTTGTTTGCATGGTCTAACGGTTAGTGCGCTGTGCTAGCTTTAAGCAGCTTAGTGCTAGCTTTAAGCAACGCTAGCTTCAGCCCCCGCATCTCCAATTGGGATATCTTTGAATCAACAGCAACTTATGAACTTATGAAACCAAAAAATCTTACCAATCGCATGATTTGTCGCATTCATTTTATTGTGCAGAGGGAAAGAGCAACCGCCGTCACACAGAAATGATTGAAAACCCTCAGGCGCGATCACCCAATCCTGGAAAGAAGCTTTTTTTAGAAGATCTTTTGAAAAGTTATAATGTTGAAACTGTAAGATAAGCTTATTTACTTATATAAGATACTACTATAAGATAAATTACGATAAGATAAGTGTTTAGAAAAAGTTCTGAAAACAAAAATGTCTTATTCTCTCTCACTTTCCATCCAAGATCGTTGAAATTCACGTAAAGACCCTTTCGATGACAGCCCATTTCATTTACTAAATAAAAATCGATAATCTAAAATGTTTTTTTCTTTAAAAACAACTTCTAGGATTTGAATAAAGATTTGGCTTTAAGCTTTAAGCTCTGAGCTTTGAGATCGGCAAAATCTTCTTCTTTTTCCTATCATCAGTTTCCGCGCGAAGTGGATCGAAATTCACCGACATATAACCAACATTTCCATCCTTTGAAAACTCTTTTGAAGTGTTTTTTCTTTAAACCTTGGCGGCATTGAAAAGCGTATCGGTGTAGCTGATTGGTAGAGCTTTGAACGGTAAATTAATAGCGTAACTACGGTAAATACCTTCGAAATAAATTGTGTATCCGACTTGTTTCAATCTCTCATAAAGCTTGTCAATATCGTTCTTTTTTTTCTCTTTTGAAATGTTTTTTCTTTAAAAAATAACTTCTAGGATTTGAATAAAGGTTTAAGCTTTAATCTTTAAGCTTTAAGGTTTAATCTTTAATAATTAAGCTTTAATCTTTAATCTTTAATCTTTAAGCTTTAAGCTTTAAGCTTCTTTAAGCTTCAAGCTTTAAGCTTCTTTAAGCTTTAATCTTTAATCTTTAAGCTTTTAAGCTTTAAGCTTCAAGCTTCTTTAAGCTTTAATCTTTAATCTTTTAAGCTTTTAATCTTTAAGATCGACAAAATCTTCTTCTTTTTTTTCCTACCATCAGTTTCCGCGCGAAGTGGATCGAAATTCACCGACATATAACCAACATTTCCATCCTTTGACGACTCTTTTGAAGTGGATCTTTTTCTAAATTTGATTTTAAAATCAACTTTTTTTCTTTCGTCTTTTATTTACTTTCTTTGTGGAACACTTTTTGGTGAAATTCCCTCGTAAGAAACAATGCCGAATATGGAGAAATCTTGGGCGAAAATCACTAAAAGCAATGTTAAAAGAGAAAGAGCTCAGTTACAAAGAGTTTCTTCAAGAGAGAATTCAGACTCATTATAACAGATTAACCATCATTGCTCTTCGCGGGGTCGAACCCACGTTGCGCAGATCTAGAGACAAGCGCGCTAACCGTTAGACCATAGTTGCAGTCGTTCACTGACCCCTTTTCGCGTCTAAAAGTTTCACAAAGATTTCAGGCTGATTGTCGGTGATCCAAGAGTGAAATACTTTGGTGATATTCAGAGAGATTTTGGGTTTTTCTTTTGAAATCGATTCTGAAGAGTGCTCGACGAGTTCACCATTTCTGAAAAGTATAAAAATTGTTCTATTTTTTCTATTTTTTTCTATTTTTCATCGAAAAACACGAAAAACACACATTTTCAATGAAAAGTCAATCAATTTTTGCTTACTTTTTCGTAAACAATAACACTTCTCCATCAAAAGCGTGCGCAAATCGGAAACGAATCTCGGCGTATTGCGGGAGAATTTCCGGGAAATCCATTACATCAAAAGAAATCCCTGTATAATCGCCAATTGAGAACGTTTCTGGAAAAGATTTTAAAGATAAGAGAAGATATAAGTTTAATGGAATTCTATAGCTCAAGATTTGAATAAGATACTAAGATAAGATATAATTAGATAAGATCTAATTAGAAAAGATATAAGTTTAATGAAAGATAGAAAATTTTATAGCCCAAGATCTGAATAAGATACCAAGATAAGATCTAATTAGAAAAGATATAAGTCTAATGAAATTTTATAGCCCAAGATCTGTATAAGATGCTAAGGTAAGGTCTAATTAGAAAAGATATAAGTCTAATGAAATTTTATAGCCCAAGATCTGAATAAGCTACTAAGATAAGGTATAATTAGAAAAGATATAAGTTTAATGAAAGATATAAAATTTTATAGCCCAAGATCTGAATAAGATACTAAGATAAGGTATAATTAGAAAAGATATATTTAAAGGGGGAGGGGTATTAATGGCGGCCGGGTGACAATAAAAATTTTTTTACGGCAACCACCTGTTTTTTTAATTTTAATATCGCTGATTTTATTATAAAAAGAATAAAAATCACCCGGCTAGAGTGATTTGATGGGTTTACAAATTTTTGGAGACACTGCAAGGCTTGGAGAAAAACAAGATCGTCACTCATCAGACACGTCACTCCGCGATTAATACCCCGCCCCCTTTAATGAAATTCTATAGCCCTTCATCTTCATCTACTTTCTTTTTCTTGACTCACTCACTTTTTGGTGCAAAACTCATAATCGTATTCGCGTTTTTAAGCATCTCGAGATGATTTTGAGCAAGCATTCTGAAAGATTATATTAAAAAATATTATTTTATCAATTTAAAAAAGCATTTTACAATTTACATTACAATAGTTGATTGAAAATTGGATTATTCGTTTAAAATTCCTAAAAACCTCTCATCATCGATTTGCCCATAAAGTGTCTTCATGAAATCGGCGGCTTCAGAATTGAAATGTGGTGGCTCGTCGATCTCAATCACTTCTCTTTGATCATTCGTTGGATTTCTCTCATTCTTATTATTCGGGAATGTCCCTTTATCTCTTCTTGTTCTTTGGGGCAGATCCTCGGCTTCCTCGATGCCCAAAATGCTCAAAATTTCTCGACCAAATGCACCAACATCGTCACTAAATAGGTGAGAGTTTTATTGTTTAATTAACCACCATAGCTACTAAAGAGTGTTCCTTTCGAGTAATCGCTTTCTAAGTTTTCCAAAGCGAGAAAGCTTGCTGGCCGAGTGGCTTGCGGGCTTGTCTCTAAAGCGAACAGCCGTTAGGCGACAAGTTCGACCCCTGCTCGAGCCGTTTTTCGTAAAAACTTTGAATTCTTTGCTATATCGATTTAGAGTGTTTTACTTATCAGTTACTAAAATTGTTAGCTTCCAAAAGCATAGAAAAGTAATAAAACTTATTTGAAGAGTTGAAGAATTTTCTACAATATAATTACTTGAGATTTACTTGTAAAAAATAAGTTAGGCGAATTTATTGAAGTTGCTTGAAAGGAACAGAGTCTAATAGTCTAATAAAACAAAAAACAAACAACAAAAAGATCATGTAAACATAAGAAAAATATTTGAAAATATAATATCAAGGTTTTTACTTTAGAAATCGGCTCACAAAGAGATCAACCGAGCTTAAATGATTCGACTCTTCCAAAATCGGAGCTGTTTTTTGTCCGCGAACCATGAACTCACATTTCAATCGGAATCTTTCTCGTTGTTGCCCCTTCTTCTAATAAATACGAGCTTCTCAACGAGGAGTTGATTTGAAGAAATAAATACGCGAAAAATAGTACTTGTACTTGTACGCGTTTCATGATATCACATCCTAAAATTAAATATCATTTTTGTGAATACAATAAACAAGAAAGAAAGACATTGAAAGTTCTGCTAGAAAGATTTCAAAACTACAAAGCTACAAAACTACAAAAGCTACAAAGCTGCAAAAACTACAAAACTACCAAAAACTACAAAGCTACAAAGCTACAAAGCTACCAAAACTACAAAACTACAAAGCTACAAAGCTACAGAAGCTACTCAAAGCTACAAAGCTTTTACGAAAATCCATTCAGACAATATCTAGGTAAGCTGGGAATCGATAAAAGATTGATTTAACAGGGATAAAATGACATCAGAGATGCTTGAAGTGGGAAATTGCTCCAGAGTTCAACCCTTGTAATCAATACAAAACTTTATCCTTTGAGGATAAAAATGAGAATAATGCAAAAAGAAAGACGTGTAAGCTGAGCCTTATTTCCATCCATTTTTATTTTTCACTCGTTCGTTCTATTAGGATGGGGAGAGGTCCCAAATGCGAATCGCACACAGAAAACCTCGTTTTTCCTTTTCCTTTTCTTTCCCCCAAACCACCTGACCCCCATTTTCTCTCTTGATTTATTTCAAAATCTCTCCTCATTTTCTCTCCACTTTTCTACTCTCGCTATGGATTAATCTTTAAAATAAATAAATAAATATTTGAATATCAGTCACAGGTAATAGACAAGAGAAAAGACTTCTTGATTTGATAGTGAAATAAATATTTTCAACCATACAGTTCTTTCGTTTTAGAAATTCCCGTCACCTCCAATAAGTTTGTGTATAAATCTCTTCCAACAAGAACTGCCAGAATTTGGAATCGACTCCCCCAGAGTCCCCAGGGTTTTGTGAGAGTCCCAATAGTCTCAGAAACCTTTCCATTATCTGTAGATGATCCTGATCTTGAAGCTCTAGTGGATCCTTGACGTTATCTGTGCTGTAATATACGATATAATATATTACATACATTATATCGTCTTGCTTTTTATCGGCCCTTTTCGTGTTTATGTGTATGGATATGTGTATTAATCTTAAATCTAGCACACTTTATCTCAGGTCCTGAATAAAGTATCTATATACAGTGGCGGACGATTAAATAGAACCGAGGGAATTATTTCGTGTCTTCTCTCTCGTGCATTATTTTAACTTACTTTCAAAAGTAAAGTAAAATATAGTTCAATATACATCTATTAAACAGTTTTCGAGTTTTCTGGAAAAACTTTGAGGCACTTAAAAATGCATGAAAATAAAAGTATAGATTTTACAACTTTTTCCTGAGGCGTTTTAGAGCATGATAATGTTCAGCGAAAACGATTCTCCGTATTCGATTTAGTGGGAATAGCTTTAGTTTGTGGAAATTCGTTGAAATTTAGGGTTTTCGGGCATCTGAAGTGCTCAAAACGCAAAACGATTTTGGCTATTTTGCCGTTTTTCCTTTTTTCCCTTTTTGACCCTTTAAGGCACTTTCAGATGCCCGAAAACCCTTAAATTTCAACGAATTTCCACAAACTAAAAGCTTATTCCCACTAAATTTTTCAAATATGATATTTCATTGTCCCGTACTGTATATACCATCTCCAAATGTTTTGATTCTTGAATGTAGAGTGTGTTCCTTGCGATTTTTTGAATGTAGAGTGTGTTCCTTGCGATTCAATTGCTTCAATTTGATTCAAATGCTTCAATTTGATTCAATTGCTTCAATTTAATTCAAATGCTTTCTCCTCGGTCAAGAAAAACTATAAAAGACAAAGTGTTAAGTCAAATTCAAAGTCAACAGGTCGAATGCTTCACACTTCAGTCACAAATGAACGTCATACTCTGAAATATATACAAAAAAAAAACACTTTTCAAATGTTGTAAAAGTTTAAAACTCATGTCTCACTCGAAAAAAGGTATCTTAGAGTGGGAAACAAGAGCAAACATTGAAAGTTTCAATTTATCAGTTGACTTTTTTGGAATATCCAATACTAGTTCCAGTTGGGCTTTTAAAACCTAATAAAATAACGATTTTACAGACAATTGAATATGGAGCACTTTCAAGATGCGTTGAAGATGAAGGAGATTGCGTTGCAAAATGGTTATTGCAAAAATGGCAAAATGGTTATACAAACAAATAAAAAAATGGTTATTAAGAAAGAAAATGAAAAAGAAACTTTGTAGTCTTATCATTTGCGACATTTTGTGACAAGTGCAAAATAAAAAATAATTTAAAATTTGTGGCTTTTCAAGTAAATGATTTCATCACGGTATTTATGGTACTTTTTATATATAAACTCAGATTTAAGCGCTTTCTTGCATTTTTGATGATTTAAATTCAAAAATCGATGATTTTCCTAAGATTTTGCAACGTAATTTTTGATTTCTTCTTATTTCCATTCAAGCTTTGACCATTCCCGAGATTTCGTAAAATCAATTCAAGCGGAAGAGATTGAGGATTCGGATTGAAGGACGGGAAATGGAAAAGAAATGACAGATCCGTGAACTCCATTCCTTCTTTTTCCCTATTTAGTCTTTTTTCGTCTTTGTTTTCGATTCGAGAACCACCGAACACTCAAAAGGATCCACAATGATGATGGGACGGCCAAATATGGATGGATAGTCTTTACGTCTTAGTCTTTTTTTGTGCTTCCTTGCTTTAAATTGATACCATATTCTATTTCGTTATTTCTTATCTGAAACTGGCTTTTAGTCAAAAAACATGTTGTTCTAAAGGATTTTCTGAGGCTGGACAGAATCCAGGTTCTGGTTTGGCTTTGCCTGGCCTAGATTGTCATTGCTGAAGGTCAGCCTGGTCTGACTTACCTAGCGGTTTACAGTAGAGTGTGTTCCTTGCGAAGTAAGTAATTATGCGGTAAAAAATTTGCATGAGTAATTTTTACCTCGATTAATCGACGTTTTTTTCGTCGAGTAACTCCGAGGTAATCCTCTTTACACGACGAGTAAATTGAATATCTTTAAATTGGAAGGGAGTTTCCCACCAAATCAATTGAACGGCTGAGTATCTTTAAAAAGTGTCATATATAATGCGGAGCCTCGTAATTTTGTGTCATTTTTTTTGCAATAATTTTCGCTAAGAATCCAAGTTCTGGCTTGGCGTTACCTGGCCTAGATTGTCGATAATGTACGGTCATTTTTCCCAAGTGTGCGTTTTAAAA